AGAGACAGTAAACATGGATTCCCATAATGCCACTTTACACAGTCACTTCACAGTTGTACTGCACTTGAATGATAGACATAAGCATTTTTTCTCAGCTTTTAATTGATTAATAACTTCTGAGGCTCAGGAGGATTTGCCTGTTTCCCCTGCAGAGCCCATATCGGTGAAAGTGTGCATGGATTCTTTGTGGAGCTGAACAGCTCCACTCCAAGCATTAGGGTTGTTACAAAGGGTTGTTACAAAGGTCCTTCCACCCATCCTCAGGGAACACTCTAGCTGCTCAGTGCTCAGCATCTGAGCATCCGTTCTGGAGAGTTTGCACTCCCTACCAGTCCAGAGAGACCAATACATCATTTGTTAATGGTTTAAGGCCTACTTCTGAAAATCCTTAGAGCTCCTATTGTGAGCAAGAAATACTTGAGTGAGGGAGGGCTTGTGGGGTAAGGCCTTTAATTTAGACTTGACATCCAGTAAGCCAGAAAATAACCACAAGCTACACTGGAAAAACAGAGAGGTAATTTAGTCTGTTTCTAGAGGATAGAAAAATATTTACAATTATGAGCCTCTATTAAAAATTCATACATAGCTTCAAGGTTACATCATATGGCCTAATGTACTTATTAAAAATCATCAGTGGGCTATCACTGGGAACTGTGCCATGAAGCTGATTGGTTTTCCAGGCAATTGTCCAGTCTTCCTCAGATGGTTAGATTGGATGAGTCAGGGGATTATTCCAAGGATATAGGACTGTTTACCTGTAGTTGGCTGTTTTGAATATAACCCAGGCTGGTTGTGACTGAAGTCATTACCATCTGTCTGCTGTTCAGTGATCTATGTAAAATTAGCTGGTGATATTTGTCCAGTTCTCAGTAGACAGGTGCCTACATCATGAAATTGGCACCAGTACCACCCTTGTTGGCAGTTTCAGCAGAGAGACTAAGAGTTGAACAGGCAAAGAGACTGAGCAGTCTCCTTATTCCTAGAGAGGGTCAGGGTTCAGGCACATGGGTAGGTGAAGGGGCACTGGTATTTGAGAATTGATTATGCCTATGCGGTGTCTCTCTATCTGTCTGTCTGAACAGGCTGTGGGGGGTACATTGCCCAGTGCTATCTATCTTGGACCTTCCATGACCACTAAACAGTCACTTTAAAAAATATCCTACTCGGTTACCATGACTTCACAATTTAAAACCAAAATTGTGGCCCCGTTCAGGTTTCCTTCTGCTATTCTTGCCGATTGCTCTTTAGGTTTTATTTGAACTATATTGGTTGATGGCTTCCCAATCCCAAATGTATGTTGTTTTCCTCTATTGTCTAGCCAGAAGGTACCTAAAAAGAGAGAGTACCAAATCATCCACAAACAGCTTTTGCTGTACCAGTTGACTTTAGCCATACCTTTGGGGACAATCCTAAAACAGATTATGTACCCCAGTGGTCAAGGGACTGTTCTCCCAATAATGGTAATAACAATGCTTAGCACCTAAATTGCACTTCACACACAGAAGGCTCTGCGCAAACTTTAACCCCTAATTAATTTCTTAATTCTTCTGTTCAAAATTTCTCTAATGGTGAAATTTGCCAAGGTCCATACAAGGCTTTCTGCACCACGTAACCTCCATATTGTTCCTGCAGTCACCCTAGAGTTGTCCACTGAGGATAGGGTGGCACAGGGGAGGAGATAATAGATTAAACTTACAAGGCTCCAGTAGCCCAGAACCTCTTCATAGGAGGCATTGGGAGGCCTGTAGTTACAATTCAGTCCATATGCTGGAATAGCAATCACGGGAACCCTATGCTATTATCCTGTGGCCTGCTCATAGTTTTAGGGGCTGGAATCTGTTTCTTTCAGTAATTCATTAACTTCCCTGCACACACCCAATTAATTCTAGCTTTTTGCTTGAGTTGATTTTAATCCTGCATGAGGAGATCTAGAAGCATTTTATCTTGCAGGCCGTGATTCAGGCTTGACAGTGCCCATAGCGGTGTGTAGGACGCCCCTACTCCTTAGTGGATTTAAAAAAATACTAACCACCAGTGTATTGTAAATAGTTCCTTATTGTTTCTGAGGATTTGTTGATGTGCAGAAACATTCACGTGGTCCAGTGACGAGCAATTTTTACTGATCAAATCCAGTGTTAATAGGCTTCTGTACAATCCTTTGCTTAAGGTAATTTAATATATAAATGTCCACTCTATCAATAACAGCAGGTTAGGGTTTTGTAGCAAGTCATTCTGATTACATAGTTAATAATCTCAAGATAAGTGGTACAGTGCTTTCATGCCGGAGTGTCATTTAGTCTCAAGTCAAAGTGACCTGCTCCTACTACACACTTCCAAACCACCAAACAGTTTAGCATGATTGGTAGCCTGTGGCCAGAGAATAGGAGAAGCAGAGTGTTGCTGGTTAGGATGAGTGGTAGAACTCTAGGTGAAAGTTTGAACATTGCTTGCATTCTTTATGTCTAGTTCTGTAAACTACTGTCATTAATATTTCAATTTTTACTTTTGTAAGCATGACATTCCCCTAAAAACGTTTAAAATTAAATGATTTTATTTACAGTGACATGATTTCTGGGTTGTAATGCCTTAAAATGCAAGGAATTAATTTCAGTATCTCACTGATATTAGATGAGACAACACAATTGAAGTCAGTGAACAGTCCCTTAATTTTAGGGGTGTGTGTGTGTGTGTGTGTGAGAGAGAGAGAGTTAGAGAGAGATCTTCTCTGGGAGCTCCTATTTCCTTCTTTATTCTCCATTAAAGATCCCTTTACATGGTGTGAATGTGTGTGTGTCAGGAGCTCATTAAACCTATTCCAAGAGTTGACTAGAAGTAGTTGCTAGAAAGTCATATGCTCCTTTATCACAGCTTCACATCACATTTACTTCTGCAGCAGAGCTAATCAAAAGTTTTCCAATGCATCATTTTTCCACCAGAAAATGTCATTTTGTAAAGATGGAAACTTCCCGTGGGAACGTGTCTGTTTGGCCGAAACTTCGGTTTTTTTTTGGGGGGGGGAAGCGCTTTAAGATTGAAACGTTTCATTTTGATATGTTTTTGGAACTGATTTTCTGTTTCAAAATGACTTTTTGTTCAGAAATTAATATTTATAAACAAATCTCAAAATTGAAATGAAATATTTCAGTTGACCCAAAAATAACTTTTTTTTTTTTTAAATTAGGAACAAAACATATTTTGAAATGTTGGAAATTCTGCTTGTCACACAGGTCTACTCTTAAGTGCTTCTAGCCTCCACCTACCTGTGATGTGAGGGTGTAACTAGTTACTCAAACACTGGTCCCATGAGGTACTGTCATTAGACCTCTGTGTTGCCTAATTTGAGACTTTAAATCACTTTCCTGGCCTTAGTTTTGCATCTTCTGTTTCAGGATACTCCAAAGAGTGATTTCATTTAATACACTCTGTAAACTTGTCATCCATGATGTTGCAGCTATTTAGTAGACCAAAATAATCAGTCTGTGTCTGCAAGAATCCCCCATTCCAATGGATGTTTGTGCCTTTGGTGATTTTGATGCAGTTATAAAGTTATAGCAATCTGTGAAATCAAAATGGGAAAATACACTTTGAAAAGAAAGAGGAAGTAAAAGAGTTTGAGGAATGTTAAAACTCAGTTGCTTAGAGCTAACAGATAAAGTAGCTGATTAAAGTGATTATATAATCTAAAATACACAACTAATATTCTTATGCCCTTGAGAAATAGAGATTAGTGTTGGCATTTTCTCCTAACTTTTCCTTAAGACATTGTGTGCAGGCTGTTGAATGGAATAATTTTACAAACTTTTAATTTGCTTTTGGTTTGTAGTCTGCAATGTGTGCACTTGGCTGAAGAGACAAATAGTTCATTTGTTTGCAAGTTGTCTACTTTCTTCTTTCCTTTCATTTCTGCATTTTGATTTAAAATGACATCTGTGCATACAACAGTTTTACAAGAGGCAGACATTCTTTGCCTTTGAAACAAAGTCTTCAAGTTTTTATGTGCTTCTTATTGGATTGTAAGAACTATCAAAAAGCCCGAGTTAATATAGACTCAGATAATGTCTTTTCTTTAGAAACGTGAATCTCAGGAGACTGGAAACCAGATCAAATATGTCCGAAAGCTGTTACCGTCTATCTAATGGCTGTTTAATAGCATATATGACATGAGTTGATGGTCCAAGTTAAATTGCTATTGAACTAGTAGCCACATCTCAAAACACCCATTATAGTTAGTACTATTTAGCACCCCTTTAGCTGTGTCAGAAGGGATAGATTCAATTCCCATTAACGGCTACAGAAGTCTTTCCATTTTCTTTAATGGGAGTTGGATCAGGCCCTTATTAGCTGCTGGATCCTTATTGGTCTTCTGGAGGTGGTTTCTCTATAGAATGGCAAAGAACAATGATGGGTTTAGCTGGAGAATCTTTGCAGTGAACTGTTATTTCCCATGCTGTATCCAATCTATTGACGAGCATAGGATATAAGTATTCAGTGCAACTTTCATGGCCATTGTGCTAATATCAGCGGAAGTTGCAAGAATGGGTCAAAGGTAGCATACTGCTTACAATACTTGTATTCCCATTAATTTAGTAGACTTATGCATGTTAGTAGTAGTAGTAAATAACTTGGCCTTGGTAATAAGGTTTTGCTGAATCAGGTCCCTAATTGTTTAAAATACTAATTTGCTTAAGTCTTTCCATTGTGGCACCTGTTTTCTTATCCACTGAGTCAAAGTATATTTTCTGAGTGAGAATTTGCATTGTAAACATACATGATTTACTTATTAGAGAATTACCTTCACTTGCATAATTTACACTGTGCAACTGTTGTAAATTACAGTAGGCTTCGTTCTGAGAACATGTCTATGTATTTTCTTCTGATTAGTCCAAAGAATCTTCAGAGTGACAACTGCATAAAATGTGGCTTACGTGCTGATATCATTTTTGAGACATGTTAACCTGCAACATTTGATTTTTCTTGCTCACTTCCTTTTTATATGTTAGGTCCTGTTACTGAAGTCAAAACAGATATATATGTCACCAGTTTTGGACCGGTTTCTGATGTAGAAATGGTATGTACTTCTGGAATTAAAATACCATTTTCTGGTGCTGAGAAACCATTAACTGCAGTAAGGAGTGAATGCTTAATTCATATGACTTTGTACTGTACTGTCAGTCATGCAAAGTAGGAAAGATTACCAGCAGCTTAATTTGTAGGCTATAATTAGATAGAGCAGGCCTGATTCTGATCTCATTCAGACTGTTTTTAAACTGGTAGAAAGAATTGACATCAATTACTTTACAACAGATTTATACTGGTGTCGGAGCCAACTCAGGCCCAGTGGGGTATCTGAGAGCACTGTACGGAGAGCAGATGATTTCTCTGAGGTCACAGAAATGCCTTTCCCCTCTGGAGCTAGCGTTTCTCTGCCTCCCTAGCTTATTAGTATTTAGTATTTATTACTAATGGGTAAATAATGACATTATTCCCCAAATATTTGTTGACATTTTCACTTCAAATGAATTTGTCATCCATCTTCATGCCCCTCTTGACAACACTTTCACTAAACATTCAAATGAGAGTTTTACCAGAAAACCAGTTTGCAAAAAGTGAATGTCAAAGTGACATGCATGAGTAGCCACAGAAGACAAATGTTAAATGTACACACATTTGTGCCTGAAAGGCTTCCACACTCATTCAAGGCCTGATCCAGTCTCATTGACTTCTATGGTGCAAGTCCCAGCCCTTAATAAGGGGAAAAGAAAATATGTTGTGTGACTTATGTGGCCAAGCGCCAAAGCTCAAATTATGTAGATACATTGCTAAGCTTTGGAGTAAAGTTTAGACAAGATATTCTTCAAAGGCCTTATGGCTTTTGAATAGCACCTTGCTCGTTAAGTGGTTGCACTTGTGCATTAGGGTGCTATCCAGCATGAGTAAGGACATCAGAATCTGGCCCCAAGTAAATCTGAGTAGTGAATACATTTGAGATAATTAAGTATCACCACAGACTAAAGACTGTATTTGTCAACTAAATTATTAATTGTGAATTATTAGCTCCGCTTATTTAATTATACAGCACTATGGGTCTGCTCGGCACTTTACAGGCAACTAAAATTGGCAAATCTCTGCCCCAAGGCGCTAATGATTTAAGGCTCAATTCTGCAACCATTACTTACGTTGAGTACTTTTTACGGATGCAAGCAGCCTTATTGAGCTCAATGACATAACATTAGACATAATACAGAATTGCAAAGCCATAAACTGAATTGGGCATGATCTAGCAAGGGGTGAGAATGAACACAAGGTGTAAGGGGAAGGAGACAAAACAGGACAAAAGCAGTGAAAGATCATGAGCAGGACCGGCCCAAACATTTTGGCACCTGAGGCGGGGAGCTCAAACGACACCCCCATGTCCACTCGCTTGGGCCAAAACTTTGAAAGGTCTCAATTCTGCCTTCTTCCTGTTCTGCTCCTCTCATGGTACTGCTCTGCTACCTACCCCAATAAAGTAGAACTAACAACTTAAAATGCCTTGTTCAAAAATTTTAAGTAACACTTAACTTTCAAATGCCTGAACAGCAAATTTAACTTTTCTTGTCTGCATAGTAAACACTGGCATTTTTATCTGTTTGAATAATCAGGGTGATGATTTCCGTGCCTTCTTGGGTGCAAAGATTTGAACTGCTTCCTCGTGAAGGTCCACAGTCTGGGCCAGCTCATGCTCTATTGAGATGGTTGCAAGGCCGACCAGCCTCTCCTGTGTCGTGGAGCGTAGATGTGTTTTTATTAACTTCAGTTCGGAGAAGCTGCATTCTCCACTGGCAACTGTTACGGGAAGTGTTAGAAATATGCGCAGAGCAACAAAAGCATTTGGAAAGAGGGTGGTCATCTTATTTGTGCACATATATTCCAGAACAGCCTTCGGAGTTGATCCTACTGAAATGTATCTTGAAAGGGCTTTTAGTTCATCACCTAAATCGCTCGCATCAATATCGCGCATATTGTCATATGTCAACACTGTCACTAGTGCCCTGCATTGCTGGTGTAGGTCGTCTTTAGGTATAGTGAGGAGTTTTGGAAATCATACAACATCCCAAATATACTGCTGTGTTCCTTGAGCTGCATGAAACGTTCTTCAACTGACTGTATTGCACAATCTAGCACCTGGTTAAAGAATTCAACTTTGAATTGTTGTTTGGGGTCTCTTATGGGGTTATCCCGTGCCCTGTAATCAAAATGTCGTCTTCTTCTTGTATTCTTGAATGGGTGGGAAAATAGCTTCAGTGTGAAGTTCCTCTGCCAACTTCTGTGCACTCTTCAGAACATTTTGAAATCCCCCATCTGACCGGTAAGCTGTAGGTATGACTTTGCTTTGTCCAGTTGTTCCGTTGCTCCAGATACATCAACACCTTGGAGTCTCTTGCTTACAATATTTATTTCAAACTGTATGTCATGCCACAACACTAAGCCACACAGAAATTTGAGGTTATGTATGTTTCTGGTGATTCCATTTCCCTCTGCTACTGTTCTCCCATGAAGAGTTCCTGTCATAGCATTATCCTCCATAACGGCAACTATGGCATCATCTATCTTCCCAATTCGGTGTTTGATAGGCTTTATTGCCTCCACTCTACTTTCTCATCATGTGGCACTCGGTGGTTTCAGTGTCAGAGAGGATGTTCCCAGATGTGGCTTCAAAATTTGCCATCTAAGAGTTGATGCAGAGGAAAAATACAAAGATGCTTTGAATTACATTAAAAAATTCGGCAGCCTCACTAGAAGCTGATGCTGCATCACTGACCACCAAGTTCAATGAATGAAAACTGCATGGGACATAAAAAGCTCGAGGGTTTAACTCTCGGATCTGTGTCTGCACTCCTCTCTTCTTTCCTCTCATGTTGGCACCATTATCATAGCCCTGACCTCTCTTGTCAGCTATCACAATTCCCGTATCTTCCAGCTTTTTAAGAAGCACATTTGTCATACCAGCTTCTATAGTATCATCAATGCCAATAAATTCTAGAAAATGCTGACAGTCACCATTGCAGGGACATTTTCACTAGGTTCTCTTGTTGTTACAAAACGCACCATTAAAGGCATTTGTTCCGTATGGCTGATGTCAGGTGTGCAGTCCAGAATAACAGAGTAATATCTTGCTGACTTCAGATCTGCCACAATCTTCTGTATGACTTTTGTTGCCAGTAACTGTATGATTTCATTTTGAGTGGTTTTTCCAAGTTAGTGGTGTGTGTACATTTCTTGGGTGGTGACTTCTTAGATGCTCCTGGAGTACAGCATCAAACTCAGCCATCAGCTCCACAATTTTAAGGAAGTTTCCATTGTTTGGCACATACAGCTGACCTGAAGTGCCACGCAGTGCTAGGTTAAGGGTAGCAAGCATTCTCACAATGGCAATGAGCCTTTTCAGAACATTTTACCAGTAAAGAGACTCTGATGCAATCTTCTCTTGATGCTGATCATCTATGGTGGCCTTTAACCTTAGTCTCATCTCAAGCTCTTTCCACCTATGGAATGCTCTCTGATGATTTGCTGCCTTCTCATGGCGTGCCAGATTTCTAGCCAGATTTTTCCAGTTCTTTGTTCCTGTAGAACCCAATGTGGCTGGAACATTAGACTGGAAGAGTTTGCAACAAAAACAGTATGCAGCATTCTGGGTTTTTGAGTACATAAGCCATGGTCTCTCCACTTTGTCGCCATTGGGAATTTCACACCAGTAATGTGTTGGATGGAAAGTTCTATTTTCATTGTTTTGGGGAAACATGAAGTTTTTCATTTGCTGTGGCCCATGCAGTACAAGGAAGTTCCTCCGGCTACTGCTCAAGTGGGTCCACAGTTCTAGATCATCGAGACTTAAGGAACTAAACTCATCAGCAGCTGTTTCTTGCGCCTCCACCATACTCTTCTCTGATCTACACTTTTCTTCAGGAATGTGCCTGCTTACATCCATTTGAGATGGAGATATGGATGCTGCAGTGGCTGCCAGGTCACCTGCAGTCTGACTAACTGGAAGATCAGGCATCTCCTCACCACTCACATCCCTCACTGGGGCCGGAAGGCTCACCGTGAACATTTGTGTCTATGTATCTCAGGAGAGCTCCTTCCTGCTTAGATAGAAAAGCTTCCTTTGCTTGCTTTCTTTTTCTGAATGCTGCCCCAGAGGGGCGTTTTCTTCTTTCACTCATGACTGCTGTTCTGTCCCAGCTATAGTGACTCTCAACACTCAATTGAAGAGGACAAATAAGCAGGGCCTGAGTGAGGGAAGATATCAACGTCTTAAGGGCTTAACTGGCTCCTACTACTTCAGTTGACTGCTTGTTCTCCTCAAGTGGGTTCAGGGAAGCAGCAGGAAACAGGAAGCTCCCGGAGAAGCTGGTGTTAATCAGTCCAGGCTCCTGGGGGTGCTAGAGAGGTACATCAGAGGCTCCTCCTCCTCTCTCTCTCTCTCTCTCCCTGTAGCTCCTGCTGCTTTGTTATTCCCTCTCAGCTTTTCTCCTGCCTGCCTGTTATGTCGCTTGTGTCCTCCTTCCTCCAGAACAGCACTCCACCATCTCTGTGCATCTAGAGTGGAGAGAATACATATGCACCAGCAGCAGACACAATTTTCTACACTTTGGTCCTAGTGGCACCTCCCCACAGTCTGGCACCTGAGGCGGCTGTCTCAGTTCACCTCATGGTAAGGCCAGCCCTGATCATGAGAAATGCATATTGTTACGTACTCCTTCTGTACACAAAACAAGTTCCCGAAGCCAAGCCACCTGTATCATACAATAAAATTAGGAGCCCAGCCCTACAAATCATTGCTCATCTGACTAGTCATTAATCACATGAGTAGTTCCAGTGGTTTTGAGCAGGCCCAATGATTGATTACCCGTGTGAGGAAGGATTTGCAGCATCAAGTCTCTAAGGAGGAGGTTTTACGTTTCATACGCTTCTCGGAAAATTGTCATAAAGAAATTAGATCACAATAATTTGAAGATGTTTTAGCACAAAACTGCAGTTGCATAACAGCTAGAGGGGATAATGCCCTTCACTGTTAAACCAATATTATGCGAATAAGACAGTGTGCAAGTGCTTTGATATCCCAAGATAACAAGTACCATATAAAGATTCCTTCCTTCATGCATTCATTCAGGTGTGTGTGTTCTTGTTACATATTCATGGCCCTAATCATGCAAATATTTGTGCACATACTTTATTTTAAGCACATGAGTAGTCCCATGTTAGTCAATGGGACTACGCAGGTGCTTAAAGTTAAAACGTAAATGTTTGCAGGAGCAGGGTTTATTATATACACTTTTTGTAGATGTGACAAAAGAACTATTGATCCCTTTTCAGTAAACCACCTGTTTTGTCAGTTGATATTAGATGTATATTTTCTTGTGTGATTTTGGTGAACTTGGGAGAAATAAGAAATCATGTGTCCTTATATTTTCAGTCTGTCCAGCTGTAAAAAAAAAACAAAAAAAAAAAAAAAAAATCCATCGATTTTTTTTTACAGTCCATTGACATTTTACACATTACTCATTTTGTTTCCAGTTATATGCTAGAGTACAAGCTTAATTGTCTGCTTCCTGCAATTTTATTAGATTATAGTAATTGCTCCTGTATGATTAAATATGTATAGCAATTTATTTATATGACTAATACGGGAAATTAAGGTATTAAGAAGTGTACAATTCACTTTAATTGGTAGCAATATATTTTGTAGTTGACTTAACAACATTTACTTCGCCATTCATTTGTTTGCTCCTAAGGGATTTTTACAGGAAACCTACACATAAAAGTGTAACATTTGTTTTTTCTACAATATGCTATAGGAATACACAATGGATGTCTTCTTTCGTCAGACATGGGTGGACAAAAGATTAAAATATGATGGTCCCATTGAAATTTTAAGACTTAATAATATGATGGTTTCGAAGGTGTGGACACCGGACACTTTTTTCAGGAACGGGAAAAAATCCGTCTCGCATAATATGACAGCCCCAAACAAACTCTTTAGAATAATGAGAAATGGCACCATCTTATACACAATGAGGTATTCAGTTTATTTGTTTGGCTTCTTTCAATTACTGTAGAGAAAAGTTATGCTGCCGAGACAAAATCCAAACCAAAGTGTATTCAATTTGTTTCATTATAGGCTTACCATAAGTGCAGAATGTCCCATGAAATTAGTGGATTTTCCAATGGATGGTCATGCTTGTCCTCTCAAATTTGGGAGTTGTAAGTTACAATTATGAATTTCTTGAAGCTTTAGTTTTAAAAAACAGATGTGGATTTTTAAAAATTCTTTGTATCATAACTGAAGTTTCTGAATACTAGGCTTGAGCCACACGCCTTATGCATAGAAAAAGCCCATTGACTTCCATATGAGTTTTGTTGATATGGGGGCTGCAGAATCAAGACCATAGTGCTATCAAGGCAGCAAATTGACAAAGGGGCACAGATTCAGATATTAAGTTAAACTCCACCTCTCTGACCACACGGATGTTTCAGGGCCTGATCTAACGTTCACAGAAGTCCGTGGAAAGATTCCCAAGGACTCCAGCAGGCTTTGGCTCAGACCTTTTGTGTCTGATATAGAAAGGAAAGCTTTAGAAATCCAGTACCAGATATCTGTAAGATCTCCTAAATTCTTTTAATATTCTCTAATGGTAACATATTGGGCCAGATTCTGTATTGCCTCCATCTTGCATAGGGCACAAGAGAGAGGAGGAGCCAGTCATGGCTCCCTGTTTCTCTGTTTTGCCCCCAGAGCAGTTCTGAGCGGCCTGGGGACCACCTAGGGCTTGCTAGATCACATTACAATCTAATCTAGTCCCCTAGTCCAACCCCTGGCATGTCCCTGTGCTGCAGTCGGATGTTGTGGACAGTGTGCCTGCAGGGAGCTGGTTGCCAGCTCCCTGTTCTCTGGCCACCCATTCCAGTGGAAGTTAGAGCAGTAGGGCGTGTACTCCTAACTTCTGCTGCTGGCATTAATTCAGCTTACACCAGTGAAAAATCAGGCATAGGGATTGGTGTGGCTGCCCCACCTGCCCTGAAACTCTTCATCTTCCCAGATGGATGGCAGCTGGCATAAAAGGTGGCTATGACAACAGCCATATAGTAGCAGAGATTCCCTGTATATAGGGAGAATTCTCCAGGGGGATCACTGGCCAGTTTAAATAAATGCAGTGGAAATTGCACTTGGCAGACTGGAATATCCAACCATATGTTCAGTGAAATGATAAAAAGGTCATACTCATTTCACATGTAAAAGGAGGGCTGGATTTGGCTTTAACATGAGTTTTGGCTATGTAGAGACTACATACTAGGCATTATCACTTTATTTCATATTATTATTTGAATATTTCTTGGGGACTGGGAATATATTTTGGCTGCTGGGAATTTTTTTTTACAGGCCTTCAGATTTTGGCAAATATTTTGAAAATTTTTGAGCTTGGCATAAGTGTTATTTCCTTAAAATAAATGTGTCCCCAGCCTCTCAGATGTATCCACCTGGGGTATGTCTACACTGATTGTAAACCTGGGCTCAGAGTTAGGTTTGAGCCGAAATCCCTCTTCTGTCCACACACACGAGTCTCTCAGACTCAGGTCAGCAAGAAATCAAAAGCTGAGTCCTAGGACCCAACTGGCAGGGGGTGGATCTAAGATTGAGTCCCTCTAGTTATGTCTACACTCCCCCCACAAGTTCATGGTGGTTCCATATGTATTCCATTGATTTCAATGGGCTTTGTATCAGGACCTTAATGTGGTGTGATAAGACACTTCTATTTAGTCATGCTAACAATATGTTGTTTTAGATGCATATCCAAAGAGTGAAATGATTTACACCTGGACAAAAGGACCTGAGCAGTCTGTGGAAGTTCCTGAAGAGTCTTCCAGTTTAGTTCAGTATGACCTGCTTGGGCATACTGTATCCACTGAAACTGTTAAATCTATTACAGGTAAGAATCTCGTCAATGTGAATCAATTTGAGATGCGGAATTAACAACGTAATTTTGTCCTAGCCTTTTCTATAAGGTATTCCATAGTTTTTACTGACACATTATGTATATGCATATACACGCTTAAATCAGAGCTCAGGTTTTCGTTCTTCATATTACCACTTGCAGATTCACTATAGTGGAGTCCATAGTCCATTTGGAAAGCAAGTATGAGGTCACTAGTCAGAAAGGCTAGATGAACGTGTGTAATGATTGCTTAAAATGTAATCTGTAGAGTTAGGAGCCATGTAACTAAGGCTGTTAGAGGTCTTGAATTCCAGTTATAAAAATACTTTCTCGGTGCTCTGTCTGTATTATTTGGGAAAATACTTGCTTTTGTTTGGCAATGCAAACAATTCCAAAGAGAAATACAACATGCGGAATATGTTGTTAAAGTAATAAATTAGAACTATATTCAGAGTAGCATAGTGGTAATCACAACAGAGCCTGCTGCTGCTATTTGTGCTACTAAAATTTCTACTAAGGCAAGTGACAATATCAAGGTAGACCCAGTAAGTGAAATCTCACTGATTAGCTGTTTGATAAAATTTGTTTTAAAAATATTATCTATTGTTGATTTGTTACAAAATTACATTACTAAATCCTTGATGTTTGGTACTGTAAAATGAAATGCTGTGGCAGGACAAAGACAAAAATTAAACAACAGATTGAGGAATGTATTTGACAGATTTCTCTTTTTTTTTTATTTCAAGATAAAAATATTTTCTTAATATATCTGGATATTATTAGCACGAGATGTTGTTGATTATCCATAAGATAATAAGACAAACCTGATCACTTCCCTGCCACTCCCCCACCCCCCCAAAAAAACCAAAAAACAGTTTCTGGAGACCTCTTGCAGTCTAAGCTTGTTGTGTTTTTGTCTTCAGAATACTAGCTCAGAGATGCATGGCGTAAAATCCTGTTCCTGCTGAAGTCAATGGGATTTTTGCCATTGACTTCAAGGGGCGAGGATTTCACCTGTAGTGAAGACTGGACTTCAAAGCCATCTATTCTGTACTAGACTGTTTGTGTTACTTTTCCTGTAATTAAATTCTGGATTTCAATTTAGGCTTTTTGTAAGGGCCGCCTGTGATATCATTAATTAATACTGTAATTTCTAGCCGAAGGGTGTGAATTTTCATGACTCTGTGTGTGTCTGTATGGGTGGTGACTGGTGGAGCGACTCCACCACTACAATAGAAATCCTTTGGTTTTGTTGTTGTTGGGTTTTTTTTGGAGAGGAATTTCCATTGACTGGAATGAGAAGATAAGGGGGTAGATTGTGCATAGTTCTATTCTGGGAAGAAAGTGGCACAGGAGCCTTCCCTGATCTCCTCTGCAGGGTGTAGGACAGTCTTGGGACTTAATCTTGCAAACTTCTTTCTCTTGTGAGTAGTCCTGACTCACTGAAATAGCCTCTTGATTTCAAATGAGTAAGAGTTCATCCCCTCTGAAGAGGCCTGCTCCAAAATGGACTGTCCCTGCTCTTCTTGGTCTGGCCTGGTCTACTTTTTCGTCTCTATTCCCTTCCGTAGATTCATAGATTACAAGGCCAGAAGGAACTGTTGTGATCATCTAGTTTGACATCCTGTATAACACAGGCCATATAACTTCCCAAAAATAATTTCTATCAAGTGGGGGGCTGTAAGACTAGAAACATTGGCATTGCCATACTGGATCAGATCAGGTCCATCTAGTTCAACGTCCTGTTTTTGACAGTGGTCAGTACCAGAAGCTTCAGAAACAGGTATAAGAAATCCCCAAATGGACAACTTAGAATAACCTGCCCATCATGGAATATTTTTCCTAACTCCTGTCAGTCAGTGGTTGGTGTATGCCCTAGAGGAAGAGAGTTTATAATCTATATCCATCTATCTATTTATATATACAATTATCCTATCAAATATAACTGTGAATGTTTAAAGGCTCAGTTTACCCTTCCTTTCTCATTCATTGTTTTATACACCTCTGTCATAGTGATAAATGTACAAACAACAGTGTCATTCTAAAGCTAAAGTTAAAATAATGACTGCTATAGTACTATTTACATGACTTTCTGAGACTGGTTTTAACCATTATTGTAAATCTCTTTCTCTCCAGGCATTTTGTTTTCCAAATCCCCATAGTTCTGAACCACTCCATGTCAGCTGAGAGTGGGTCTGATCCAAATGGAAAGATTCCCATTGACTTCAATGGCAGTTGGATAAGACCCACCATTTGCATTTCATTCTGAATATTTCTCACACTTTTAATAATGATGGCCACCTTATGTAATGGTTGTTAGACTAAATTAACTGATACCAGTAAAAAGAAAAGGAGTACTTGTGGCACCTTAGAGACTAACCAATTTATTTGAGCATGAGCTTTCGTGAGCTACAGCTCACTTCATCGGATGCATACCGTGGAAACTTCAGAAGACATTATATACACAGAGACCATGAAACAATACCTCCTCCCACCCCACTCTCCTGCTGGTAATAGCTTATCTAAAGTGATCATCAAGTTGGGCCATTTCCAGCACAAATCCAGGTTTTCTCACCCTCCGCCCCCCCCCACACACAAACTCACTCTCCTGCTGGTAATAGCCCATCCAAAGTGACCACTCTCTTTAAAATGTGTATGATAATCAAGGTGGGCCATTTCCAGCACAAATCCAGGTTTTCTCACCCCCCCATCCCGCTCCAAAAACCACACACACAAACTCACTCTCCTGCTGGTAATAGCTTATCCAAAGCGACCACTCTCCCTACAATGTGCATGATAATCAAGGTGGGCCATTTCCAGCACAAATACAGGTTTTATCACCCCCCCCCCCACACACACACACACAAACTCACTCTCTTGCTGGAAATAGCTCATCCAAACTGACCACTCTCCTTACAATGTGCATGATAATCAAGGTGGGCCATTCCCAGCATAAATCCAAGTTTAACCAGAACGTCGGGGGGGGGGATAGAAAAAAACAAGGGGAAACAGGCTACCTTGCATAATGACTTAGCCACTCCCAGTCTCTATTTAAGCCTAAATTAATAGTATCCAATTTGCAAATGAATTCCAATTCAGCAATTTCTCACTGGAGTCTGGATTTGAAGTTTTTTTTGTTGTAAGATAGCGACCTTCATGTCTGTGATTGCGTGACCAGAGAGATTGAAGTGTTCTCCGACTGGTTTATGAATGTTAGAATTCTTGACATCTGATTTGTGTCCATTTATTCTTTTACGTAGAGATTGTCCAGTTTGACCAATGTACATGGCAGAGGGGCATTGCTGGCACATGATGGCATATATCACATTGGTGGATGTGCAGGTGAACGAGCCTCTGATAGTGTGGCTGATGTTATTAGGCCCTGTGATGGTGTCCCCTGAATAGATATGTGGGCACAGTTGGCAACGGGCTTTGTTGCAAGGATAGCAGGTTCCTGGGTTAGTGGTTCTGTTGTGTGGTATGTGGTTGTTGATGAGTATTTGCTTCAGGTTGGGGGGCTGTCTGTAGGCAAGGACTGGCCCGTCTCCCAAGATTTGTGAGAGTGTTGGGTCATCCTTCAGGATAGGTTGTAGATCCTTAATAATGCGTTGGAGGGATTTTAGTTGGGGGCTGAAACTGCTGAATTGGAATTCATTTGCAAATTGGATACTATTAATTTAGGCTTAAATAGAGACTGGGAGTGGCTAAGTCATTATGCAAGGTAGCCTATTTCCCCTTGTTTTTTTCTACCCCCCCCCCCCCCCCCGACGTTCTGGTTAAACTTGGATTTATGCTGGAAATGGCCCACCTTGATTATCATACACATTTTAAAGAGAGTGGTCACTTTGGATGGGCTATTACCAGCAGGAGAGTGAGTTTGTGTGTGTGGTTTTTGGAGGGGGGTGGGGGGTGAGAAAACCTGGATTTGTGCTGGAAATGGCCCAACTTGATGATCACTTTAGATAAGCTATTACCAGCAGGAGAGTGGGGTGGGAGGAGGTATTGTTTCATGGTCTCTGTGTATATAATGTCTTCTGCAGTTTCCACGGTATGCATCCGATGAAGTGAGCTGTAGCTCACGAAAGCTCATGCTCAAATAAATTGGTTAGTCTCTAAGGTGCCACAAGTACTCCTTTTCTTTTTGCGAATACAGACTAACATGGCTGTTACTCTGAAACCTGATACCAGTAAAGAATTTTAAAGGCATTATGTAAGTACGGAGTATTTATTTATTCATTCACTGTTTAATTATGACAGCAGTACTAGAATGGGAACACCTTGTGAAACAATTACAAGTTTCCATATGAACTAATATGTTCCATAAGGCAGTACCTAGATATTATAGTATGGTGTCTATATACAGTGAAATGGATATTACAAATGCCACAGCTGGATAGATGGTAAATAGATGCCTTGTATGCCTTGAGAGTGTTTTCTTCTTGAGATGCCAAAAGATCTCTTAAATAGCACTTAAACCATAAAAGGCAATCTAACATTACCTATTAATTTATAGTCTTTTATATTATGTTTCCAGAATGGCATTGTAAGGACGTATTACTTTCCATTTTGTTTGATATCACACTTCCTTTCCTTCTTGTTTCCTAAGCAACACATCTTCCCGTGCTTGTATTGCTAAGCTCTGAAGATAATATTTTCATATCTAATGCTGGTTGGCTGTCAGAAACATGGTTATTCTGCAAAATTGTATACGGAGTCAGAAGTATATTTTCCTTTCGCTTTATTTTATAGGTGAATATGTTGTTATGACAGTTTACTTCCACCTCAGAAGGAAAATGGGTTATTTTATGATTCAGACATATATCCCGTGCATTATGACCGTGATCCTCTCGCAAGTGTCATTTTGGATAAATAAGGAATCTGTTCCAGCTAGAACTGTATTTGGTAATTATAATCTCTTCTTTCTTTTTTCCATTTAATTATGTTTCCTCCTCTAATAATTTTTACTAGAATAATCCTCATTAGCGGACAGAATATGCATACTTTCTCAAAACCAGTGCTGCTAACATGAGAAAATAAATTAAGTTCAAAGGCAGATGGGCCTTTGTTTACTATCTGCCTAATTATAAATATTAGGAATATGTAACTTGGCTCACTGGACTGTGGAGGGAAACTTGGAATATTTAACTTGGAGGGGAATGTGGTTGATTGTAGCAGGGTTAAATTTATTGGGACCCATCCCTTTGCCCATTGAAGCAAATGGGAAAACTCCCATATCCAAATCAGGCCCTCAGCCTGCAGAAGGGACAGTTTTACCCTCAGGTGTATGTTCATGGCTCTTCTTAGAGTAACTCCAACTAAAGTGTCATTGAACTAATTTTTTTGGAATTACGTACATGTGTGCACAGATCTCAGGCACAAGTCTCACTGACATCAGTGGGAGTTTTGTCCAAGTAAGGAGTTTAGGTTTAGGTCCTGTATTGCAGTGAAACTGTCTCTTTTTTCTCCTGCTGCCTCCATGAAAGTGAACCGAAAAAGCAATTAGGCAAACGATCAGAAAATATTAAAGTGACACTCATTAAAATACAATTTGAAAAGAGACGCTACAACGAACACTGAAAATGAACAAACAAATGTGTGGAAGACAAAATGTACAAAACCAAACTGGTTCCTAACAAAGGAATGGAAAAAACAAGCATAGTTAAAGCAATCTTGTAAAGTGACTCTATAATATATTGTATTTTGAAGCGAGATTAATCAGCTGGAGAGCATTTAGCCAAAAGACGTATTATATATAGATTTAAAAGAATAAGAATACTTCTAAGTGACAGCTCAACCAACACACAAGCAAAGACTGGAAGACTGTCCAGCATCACAAAAAGATCTGGTTAATAGTCAGTAATGGAAAAAAAATAAATCTAATGAGAACCTTAACACCCCACTCAAGCATTACGTTAGAGGGGAAGGTATACAAGTGGTGAGTCAATTCCCATGTACATTGGCAGTAACATGCAAGGCAATGGGGATGTCCAGATGGAATAGTCTGGGGGCCTGGCTGGACATTGTTGGTGACATAGCATCCCCTCCCCCAGTACAGAAACCAGCAACTATGTTGTTTTGATAGAAGTGTCCCTTAGGTACTTATCTAGGGCAGATATGGTATTGTAAAGTGGTAGCCAAGTATGCTAATGCAAGATTTTTGTACCCATGTCAAAACGATCTTTTGCACAAGTGAAAAGGCCACAAAAATGTACCTAAGTTGTCAAGACAAGTCTGAAAGAAAAAATTGCCAGTAAAATGGGATTTTTCTTATTTTATAAGACAGAAACAAATCTTAGTCCTATAAAAGGTTTCTTTGACACGTTATTAAGGCTCATTACTTAAAGAATGTTGGCCTCATATTTTGTATTGATAAATGCATAGGTTATTTATTGACACAAGTTTTAAACATTCATTATAATAGAAACCAGGTATACTCTTGAACACCATGGTGCTAACAAAACACTAATAGCCAATGGACTCCCTCTCAGTGGTCGGTAATATGACATTATATATGTGTGTCTATCCTTTGTCAATATATTTGCCATATTCAACATATCTATCTAAGCCATCTGTAGTGTCAGACTCATCTGGATCCACACTGGCAACTTTGAACAGTCCTCACCACAAGTACACAAGTAAGCCTGTGTGCACTCCATGCTCTGTCTTGAGCAACTATACTTGAGCTTACACTTTTTGGTTTTTTACACCCCATATAATGAGTTCCAGGAGTGCTTTGGTGTCTGTGTCATTAGTGTTGGAGAAATGTGTCCACCCTTGTCATGTTGCTAGTCATTTCCAATTGGGGAAGGGATGTCAGGCTGAGCCTCCATGTCATAGAATCATAGAATATAAGGGTTGGAAGGGACCCCAGAAGGTCATCTAGTCCAACCCCCTGCTCGAAGCAGGACCAATTCCCAGTTAAATCATCCCAGCCAGGGCTTTGTCAAGCCTGACCTTAAAAACCTCTAAGGAAGGAGATTCTACCACCTCCCTAGGTAACGCATTCCAGTGTTTCACCACCCTTATCTGTCATGGTTTCAGATAAGGGTCTGGTAATTTGCATGCTTGGTATGTTGCAGAAGACTACTGTAAGTTAGAGGAGGGCCTTGTCCGGGCCTGATTGCAACAGAAAAGCTTATATCGTACACTATTTACATCCACTGAGTTAGCTGTTGGGTCATAGAAAAGGATTAGTAAAAGTTCTACCGATTTCAGTTGTGCAGGAAGTATATCCACTGTAGTGCCAAAATTAGCAAGGCCTCTAAATTTTTTTTTTTCTTTTCCTGACAAGCTTCCATGGTTTTAGTTTGCCAACTTCTGCCAGACTTCTGGTTGAATTACACTCAGTCAGCATATGTACTGCTGGCAACATTCTGCATAGTTGTTGGCCAAATTGAGCTGCTATCGTGTGGGTTGGTATAAACCTGGATTTATCTTTCATACCGGTATGAAACCGAAGGTCTTGAGCTGTTTATTTATGAATAAAATGTACACAGAGAACTGCAACGTCAGTGTCCGGAGACCACACCACTACATAAGGGTATTCTTGTGAAACATGTGCAACATGATGTTGAGGCTGAGTATCTGCTTCTTCATGCAATGAGAATAGATATTCTTGATCTACAGCTCCATCTGAAGTGACGATGCAAGCAATGAGGCCATCCTTGAATCTACCTGCAATAACCATTTTCTGAGCTGGGATGAGTTTCTGCCATATCACACCATGAGTCTGACAAAAATATTACCATATGTGCCTTATTCTTGGGATTTCCAGTGAATTTACTCCACTGCTGTAGGTTGGGTGTTTTGGAATCTTGGATTTTGACTTCATTGCTTTGTGAAGATTGCTTTTGTGCACCCTCAAAAGCTTTACTTGAATCTTTGACGACATATCATCTTTTATCAACATATACTCTTTTGCAGCTCTCATAACTCTGTAGAGGCTGGTGTACTATTCTGAAGTTCAGTTCAGCAAGTTTTGCAAAGCTAGTTGCACCTCCTTGTGTGACCATTTGTATAACAGCTATATTATCCAAGCTGTGGGCATGTTGGGTACATTGACTCTTTCTTTTCCTAATTCAGGCAATTGCTTATTCTTTGTGGTTTTTGTTCAGGGTACCATCAGAATGTGCTAGAGCATATGGAACTGTGGTAAACGTGTGAAAACTTCCTTCAGATTAATCTCTCTTATTTGTTCAGCTACTACAGGATGGCTAACAACTCCCTGTCTGCAATCACTTTAACTTCAGATTTGATCTTTTTCTTAGTGATGCAAATGTCTTGATTGTTGAGCTTGTGCACTGATTCAAAGAATCCAGTGATATTTGAATTTAATCTATCTTCTACAAACTATTCCATTGCTTTGATTCCTGTATCATTCTCAGTAACAAGCTGGGTGGCAACCTCTGCGCAATACAGTTGCAATGTTGGTGAGTCTATTAAGTCAGCATTCAAATCAAATAGTTTTGTCATGGAGTTGGTGATTGTGTGAACAACATTATCTACATCTCCTTCAACATGTTGCATGCCCTCCTCATGTTTTCCTTCTGAAACATCTGAGTCTGCCTTATCACACATTACTTTCATGGAAGTTGTGATCGCTGAGTGCTTATGAGTAGCGATGAACCATCTAGCCAAGGCTCCTGGTTTCAAAATAAACCCCCCTATACCCACTTTTACTTTACTCTCACAGTTTACTCTTTGTTCAAGTGCCATGTCTGTCCATACTTCGCTGAATTTATTGCTAGACTGAGCCACAGCATGATTTCCATGCACAGACTGCTCATGAACTTTGGGGCCATAATCTGGCAGAAACTTCATATCGCTGATGTTCTCAGATACCCAGAGGGCATAGTTGGTGTGGTCAAAGACAAAAAATAGTGGTAGCATCTCTACAACTGTCACAAGGTGCAAGACCCAGTTGCTTTCATGTTCAGCTCTAATGAAACACATTAAGATGTTAACCATTTTGATGTAATCGTCCCAGAATGCAAAGGTGGGGAAATTGATGTTCCAAAATTGCAGACTCTGTGCAATACATCCCGTGCATTCTTGAGGGCATGACTGAGCTGGGAAAGTGTTGCTGCCGTGCTTTGACATTCTTGGAGCTTGCTATCGCTCTAAGGTGCCACAAGTCCTCCTTTTCTTTTTGCAGATACAGACTAACACGGCTGCTACTCTGAAACCTGTCTACATCTCAGTCACTCTCATTGTCTTGTACCCACTTACAAAATGCTATCCACTGCAGTCTGGATAAAGCCTCCACTACAACGTTGTGGGCCCTCAATCCACGGTGGTATTATTTGCCTTTAAGTACGTTGATTGCTGTGTTGCTACCATACACCTGCGATTCTGTGAGGCTGTCTTCAAGGCCACTGTCTTCATATGTCTTTCCAATTGCAGCAAGAAATGTCTCTGTGGAATCTACCCTTCTTAAGATTGTTTTCTGAAATTCCTTTGGGCGCCTCCACTGGCTCTCTCTTTGGCCTTACAATATATAGCCCCATCAAATATGGGGACACTGTAATCTTGTTCAAGAGTCCTGGACATCTTGCTGACATTCTTCATTACAGTGAAAACTGTACTCTGTTCAGTAGGTGGTGCTGGCAGCATTGGACAGTACCCAATAGATGTGATGGTTGGTGTGGCAGAAGAAATCATCACATTAAAAGCTGTCCATCCTGATATTTGCTGAGCATTCACCTTTTCAAATTTGCATCAGATAGTTTGGTTGGGCAGCATCTTAGAATTATCCATTGCAGATCAAAGTTGGTGGCTTGTTGGAAAGCCTCAATACCAGTATACCAGTTACTTTTTACTTTCCCCACAAGATTTGGTGTAGATCATTACTCATGAGGATTGCACTCCAGTATGTCTTGGAACATTGCAGGAGTTTCAAGTGATTGTCTTTGCGGTGCTGTTTTCTTTGTTTGAGCCTGAGCGGCTACTGTGCCAAAGCTGCCTTCCGGAATAGAGGGGGTCTGATTGAGCTAAAATTAAAACACCCTTTGCCATGTTTATAGTTGTAAAACATGATGTTGAAATAAGCTAATTTTTTAAAGAAATTACATGGTGTAAGCAGATCATAAATTACACATATAGACAAAACAACAAGCAGAACATATTTAAATAAAATTTACCATAATGAAATCAATATAGGATAAAATTAGTATGTAATTATACACATGTTAAGAGAGAGTCATTACTTTGACTGTTTCAAGAAATTTGTGAAGGAATTTTGACATGACTTAATAAAAATTGTCCATAATTCTCAGATTATAACTGCATAATACCACATCTTCCTTGCCCTAAAATCACACTTGAGGGTTAATCCCCAAATTAAAATGCATTAAACTCTTTGTGTGTGTGTGTGTGGTGGGGGGTTGCTCTGAATTTCAAATACAGGCAGCATTTTCCATGTGGGCCCCCAGACTAAAAATAATGTCACGAATCAGCAAGATAGCAGCTGCCATGACCATCTTAAACAAGATTTGACTATTGAAAATCTACAACATAAAGACCAAACTATGAATCATCAACTGAAATATTATGATTTGAAAGCTAGAGATCCACCAGAGATACAGACAGATGTCCAAATGCTTCAGGAAAATACTAAGTATGAAACTGAATTAATTGTTAACAAATGCTGAGATTCCTCAGAGTTCTGCAACTCCTTATTTCCAAAGTAATCCAGAAAAGAAGATGAAAATATCTGGGACGTGTTAAGAATCTAGAACATCTGCCATGGCAGGCGTGCAATTGGGCAGCTGGAGGAACGTGTGACAGGGGTCAATTGAAAGAATCCCTCTGTCAACCATTATTTCGAGAGGGAAAATGTGTAGACTTAACAACAGAGAGGACATGAAAAGAGCAGCCCAGGATAGGCAGGGATGGTGGAGCCTTGTCTCATTGATGATGTGGGAAGGATTTAGATTCACAATATTACAGTCGAAGGCCACATTTTATCACTTAAAATAAAGCAGCACCTATTTGGTTTAGCACAGCAGTGTAAACATTCTCTAAATATACACTCTCCATTTTAGCTGCAAATAAAGGAACAAATGATGGCAGCCAGTTCAAAAAGCGAACAGAATGTTAGGAACCATTTGGAAAGGCATAGGCAGAAAATATCATCATGCCACTATACAAATCCATGATATGCCCACACCTAGAATATTGCATGCAGTTCTGGTCGCTTCATCTCAAAAAAGGTATCTTAGAATTGGAACAAGTACGGAGAAAGACAACAAAATGATTAGGGGTGTGGAACAGCTTCCATAGGAGGAGAGATTAAAGAAGACTGGAACTGTTCATCTTAGAAAAGAGATGACTAAGGGAGGGGGATATGATAGAGGTGTATAAAAACATGAATGTTGTGGAGAAAGTTAATATGGAAGTGTTGTTTTCCCCTATACATAACACAAGCACCAGAGGTCACCCACTGAAATGAATAGGCAGAGGTTTAAAACATAAGGAAGTACTTCTTACATGATGCACAGTGAATCTGTGGAACCTGTTGCCAGGGAATGTTTTGACGGGCAAAAGTATAACTGGGTTCAAAAAAATAATTAGATAATTGGCCTCAGTGAGTTCTGATCCTGCATTAATGCTAGTTAATATGGGAAGGCAAAGTTCAGTTTTTAGGGGCCAGTTCTATAGATCTATAGAGTTGAGTTCTGCAAGCCACAGAAACCCCTGGGAATTATGCTGCCTCGTACGGCTCACATCCTATCCTAGCCAAACCTATTGTAATGCTGATAAGTAACAGAAACATGCACAGTAGTAAGTCAGATTTGTGATTTATTGTATAAATTTGGTGCCAAAATCTTACAATAAACTATGTACAAAAGATCTGATTTTTACATATCAGGAATAGGATTCTATAGACTAGGTGGAGTTTTGGAGAGGTGATGCTGGGTGGATACGGGAGACCAGTGTTCCTTAGGAAAGGGGGAGAAATAATCTGCATAGTTTTAGGGGTTTTATCTTTTTGCTTACTATGCTGATTCTTTTTTTAAAAAATGCTTATGTGCATCTGCTTGGAAATGCACAAGTGTGTTTAGGGCTCATGTCTGTTAGCATTTTAATAGAACGTAATTTGCTACTCTGGAAAGTTAGCCTATGACACACACAAACATAAAGAGCAGTTAAGGGCTGGGATATTTTTGAAATATCTTAAAAGCTTATAAAATACAGAAAATTGCATCTGATACTTTGAAAACATTCTGGGGAAGAACTTCTGCCCCATCGACACCATTTTATTTTATTTATTTTATTATGTTTTTCCCTTCTCAACATTGCTAGGTTCTCCCAATTGTTGATTGGTTCAGAATTTACCCATGGTGCCACTGACGTCCACGGGTAATTTAATAGCTACTAGCTTCTCAATCTCTTTTCCCAAATAGGAGAGGTTTGATTCTGGGAAATAATTAACAAATCACTCCAGCATTAAGTGGTGCCTCCTTGAGGAGGACTCTGATCACTTCATGTTTAAGAAAGGTCAGGACATTCCTCTGCTAACCAACACATTAATAATGTCATCAGTAAAGACATATCAGCTAAACTACTGAGTCTTGGAAAACAGAGTCATCTTCTTTAGAAACAACTATTTCAATAGGGATTTCTTTACTAGCTAAATTACTTTAATTAGCCTGAGAAAATCCCATCACCCACATCAGTATGTCCACCATCACCTTTTTGAGTAAGACTCCTGCAAGCTCACAATGAACTGTATTTACCTTGTTGGGTTTGACCTTTAGGTTTCACCTATTCTGCCCTCAATTTCCTCTTAGAAGTTCCATGTTGAGCAAAGTCATCAATGTAGATGATAAGAGTTGCACACAAATCAAGACGCCTCAGCCCATAAAGGATCTCATTCTGCAGTCCTTACTCAGGCAAGTCTCCCATTGGCTTCAACTGGAGTTTTGCCAGAATAAAAACTGGAAGATTAGGTCCAATCACTGTTCCCATTTGCCCACAGAGAGCAAGACATGGTGCTCTCTTTTCATGAGGGATTGAGAGATCTTGCTCTTCACATATTTTCCTAGCATGGGAGTATTAGTCTCAATTTGGGACCTGAATTGAGATCCTCTTATGGCATTAGAGTTACGTTATCCCTGAACTGCAAGGTCAAGCGCAGTATAAATTGTTTTCTCACAAATTATTGTTGCCTATTTTGCTTTAAAGCTATAAGGATCATTAGTGCTATTTTAAAAAAATTGAATATTGAGTTCCTTTCTCCTCATTATTCATTGGCAAGATGATTTAAGTGGCATGTTCAGTTAAATGAGGATTATCTTGAGATCTGCAATTTAATTGCATTTTTTGATGTTAGGTTTTGCAATTACAAATGGAAAACTACTAGATGGTTTTGATTTTTCTTTTTTTATTGCCATTCTGATCTGATAAATAAAATAAAATATGGATAGAGCAATTAATTTTGCTTTGTTTCTTTGCTTTGAAGGAATAACGACAGTTTTGACAATGACAACGTTGAGCATCAGTGCAAGGCATTCGTTGCCAAAAGTATCCTATGCCACTGCCATGGACTGGTTCATAGCTGTCTGCTTTGCCTTTGTGTTCTCTGCTCTTATTGAATTTGCTGCTGTCAACTATTTTACTAATGTTCAACTGGAAAAGGCCAAAAGGAAGACAGTGAAATCACTCCTTGAATTTCCAATCTTGCCGGTGCAGCGAGAACAGTGCACAGAAGAGGCACTCATGGTATTTTATTTATCTGTTGTTTGTTATACTGTTTTCAGGACTATATACACTTGTTTGAGTCCAGTGCATGAAAAATATCTGACAATATATTTGTAGGGTCCCGTAAGAGAACATTGTAAGGGATAAATCCTGGTCCTATTGAGGGCTTTTTTCCACTGTCATAAATGGGACCAGGACTTGGTTCTCTTAGGATCTTTCCATATTGTCCATTTTGATTAACAAGTTATACCTTCCAGATAGAGGGTCTAATCTTGATGAAATAGAGTGAAGACGAAAGTAGAATATTTAACAACACATGTAGCTTATATTTATCCATCTGAGAAGAGCGGGCCAGACTGCATTCTCCTCATGGGAGGGAGCTAAGCTAGAAGGTTCTCCTTGTGGGGTTTCCTCCCAAGTCATTCCATTGTGTTGTTTTCACTCCATCTTCCTGTTGCCTAGGCTGTGTGTCCAGTCCACAAAATCTACAGATCCCAGGGCACCAGAGGAGACTGGGATCATCTACATGGAGGCTTGATGCCTTTCTATTGTTTCTGAGTGTTTTAACCTTCCCTTTACCCTCTTGTCTTCATTGGAGCCACATTATCTGGGCCGCCCCTGGCTGTGGTTGGCACCAGCACCCTGAGAGTCCGAGACTATTACTTTTCCATGGAAATCTCTGCAAGACTAATGGAGGTGACAATGTACCTGATCCTCAACCTAGATCCCAGCCTGCTCACTCCTTTCTACTGTCACCCCTGCACAGTGTCCCAAGCCATCAGGATGCCCTCTGAAGGCTCCCAGACAATAGGGGTAACCACAGAGGCAACTGTATCCATATCCGTATAAGAGGCAGGCAGGCCAGTCTCTGCATGGAGTTCTGGGATTCATACTTAGTTAAGATTTCAAAGAAGGAAAGAAAATGTGTATCATCCTCCAAGAGTCGGGATCCAATGTGGTGGTGGTGGTGGTCTGGCTGCAAGCAGTAATTTTAAAATCAGTTAGACAGGTTAAAAAAAAATAGCATTCGGCAATAAGAAAGTTCCCCTCTACGCTAAACATGGAATTCAGCCAAATGTAAGTCTGCGGCTTTGCTGTCGCCATTTATAATTTTTTTTTAATTCTTCCTTGCATTGCTGAGTGATTGGACGGTGTCAGGAAAAATCTGTAGGTTGTGTCCATCAATAATTATATCTTTCTTCTTGCAGACTGTTTTTTAATAGTCTTTTTTCCCGCCTCTCCTGAATTTATTAATGAAGCAGTTAAAGTTTTGGTTTGAGCCTGTTGGGAAGGACTTCTCTGGGATTCTGTAACCCTTTTATATCTTCATTTATTTATTTTAATTTATCAAAGAAGCTAATGACATAGGGCCAGATTCTGATCCCCTTGCTCACGGTGAGTAATACATTTAAATCAGTGGAATAAGGTACTACTCAGAATAAGCAAGGGTGGCACAATCTATCCAACAATCAGTATTCCTTTATGTGCAGATCTCACAGCACTGAATCTTCATTTTCTATGAAATCAGTAAGTGTTCAAGACTCTTATCACGTGGGATTTGTCAGATCCAGCTATTTCAGTCATGGATTTGTTTTCAAGGAGCTGATTATAATGTCTTTTTGCACAGGCACCCCACCTACCTACTGTCAAGCCTTTTCCGTGGATTGCTTTTTAGCTATCGTAGTGTCCTAAATGAGATCTAGGTAGTTTAAGTGTGATTCCTTAGTACTTATCTTGATATCCAGGCCCGCTAATTAAAAGTCTGACCCCAACTCCCGTTGAAGTCAATGGAAGCTTGGGTTGTATCAGACCCTAAGAGTATGTCTGTACTGCAAAAACACCAGTGGCAGCAAGTTTCAGAGCCCACATCAGTTTCAAAGCCTGAGCTGGAATGTCGACGTGACTATTTCTAGCCTCATAATGTGAGCTGGAGGCAGCTGACCTGGGGTCTGAGACTTGCTTCAGCAGGTGGTTATTTTTTTTTGTTTGTTTTTTGGCCATGTAGATGTACCCTTTGGGTCCAGAGGCTAGATCTTCAGCTCCACTCAGCTTCAAGCCAACTTTGTGATGCCCCAGACCCTTGGGAAGTGGCAAGGAAGATTTAGATATTAGGAAAATCTTTCTAACAATAAGGATACTTAAATACTGGAATAGGCTTCCAAGGGAGGTTGTGGAATCCCTGTCATTGGAAGTTTTTAAGAACAGGTTAGACAAGACACCTGTCAGGAATCGTCTAGCTATACTTGGTCCTGCCTCTGTGTGGGTGGATGGACTAGATGACCTCTTGAGGACCCTACCTTCCCTACATTTCTATGATTCTAGGATTGACCTCTTCCCTCCACCTTCACTCTCTATTGCTTTCCTCCCCTGCTGTCCACCCACTTCCACTTTCCTTCCCACCTCTTTGCTCTCTCACTACCCTCCTTCATAGCTATTCCACAGTAGCATCCCCTGTGGATACTCTGAACATGGAATAAGCATGTCCACATGTAGAATTATTGCAGAGTACCTACTGAGCTTTTAATTCATACCCTAACTTAGTTCACAATAACTCTTCTATGTAGGCAAGCCCTGAGTTTTGAGTTCAGAAGGATTGCCCAGTGTTTAGTATTAATATACCATAAAAATAACTTTTAAATGTAATTTGTCTTTTACTATTACTATTATTTTGTCTCATCCTAATTAGGTGTTTCACTTTGGTTTCTCCTATGTTGACATTTGTGTTAAAATAGTGGAATTAGCAATAAACTTGGGCAAAACTTGTGCAATTCATGAGACCTTTTTTTAAACTTGTCTTACACAACTTAGCCCTCCTGAAATTTAGATTGTTGGCAGAATTTCGACAGACTGGCCGTTGTCCACAGGGGAAAATGTGAACATTCAAAAAGACAGTTAGCCAAAACTTCGCACTTGTAAATTTTGAAAAAGCTGTCCAAAAATCTTAAAGCCCTAAACCCTCTCCCTGGTGCACAGCCACAGTATCTATATTGTGTGATAGGAATCTCCTACTCCTCTTCCTGACTGAGACTGGACTGCCCCTGCTATCACCCACCTTGGGCGCTGTAGAGATGACTATGCTGGTTTTTCACCATTGAGATTCCCCAGACTTAGGGTAGCTTTAGATCCCCTCAAAACAACAACAAAAAGACAGTAACTGATCTTATGAAAAAAAATGCTATATATGAAAAGTAGAACTAAGTTCTGCCCTTCTCTGGGCTGTTGTTCCTGAATGAGTATTCCTTATCTATATGAATGATCCCAATAATTGAAGTGGAGTATAAATATGGATTTGCAGCACTGGCCTCTGTATGAGGAAGGAGGGAATTGGACTATGAAGGTAGGTCCCTTGTGATGGAAGGGGATTGTACAGCCCAATAAACATAAGAATTAAGCAAATTAATAATAGGATTTGATAAAATAAAGATTTTATTATTAGAAATAGTTTTTCAAGTATGTATGTCATCCATTAGATCTGTTTCCATGAGACCAACAATAATTTTAAATTTTAATTTTAGACAATCCGATGCATTTTAACTTAGACCAATATATTCCAATACTCTCATTACTCAACCAGTCTAACACACCTTTCTGACATCAGTGGATTTATTACTGTACTTGGGCCTCAATTCTGCAATTGACTCTGCAGAGGTGGACCCCTGCTCTTGTGAAACAAGCTACAGGATTGGTATCTTGGGATCCGATTTTGATGTCTTTACATAGGAGGGAGGAATGAGGTTTGCCTATCAGCCATGATCTCTCAGAGACTCTTGGAGATGTTCGATAGAACTCAGTGGGCTTTGGATCAGGCCCTTGAATCTCCGCTGTGATGTGCTGATGCTGCTGCAAGCATTCCACCACAACGTAAATTAAAGAGTTTAGTGGTACAGAGGATACATCACATGGGATGTTTGACTGAAAGGGAGTGTTCTTGCATTATTCATACTGAGGTGCAAATATTTATTCTCTTTTTGCTGTTTATTCTTCCTGAGATTGGTTTTAATTCTGCTATTTGGCTGTACTATAAATATCCAAGTATTTATTTCACTAAGACACAAGCAGTTTCTGTTTCCCATTATCAGACAAGGTTATAATAATAACTTTTCTTATCAGGCCTCTGAAGACTCTTATTTTCCTGATACCTCTGTAGGATAATTTAAATTTGATAACTTTGTTGTATTACATTTTCCAAGGCTATATCCGCTCCTGTAAGAAATGTAATTTGTGTGTCACAAACAAAAACTGCCTTGGTTCGTGATTTTTTTTTTTATTTGTCTCCAGTTTGTTCCCCTAAAACAGTCAATATTTTGTTAGTGTTATAGAAGTCAGTTTTGCCTAGTATTGTTCTCTAGCTGGTAGAAAGTGCTGGTAACATAGCAAAAGAGTAATCAGTTCACATGAGCAGGAAAATCATGTCATATTAGTAGGTCAGAGTCTATTCTCTGATGTGCAACTCATGTTGAAATCAATGAGGGTTGTATGGATAATCTGGAAGGGCAGAATTTGGCCTGTGACAATTATTATATTAGAAATTGCTTTGTTACTACAATGATTTAACATACAGTAACAGGTCAACATGAAGTCAGTATTTATTCAGAAACATGGTGACTGGGCCTTTTGAGGAAAAATTATTTTTCTTTCCCTTCTTATGATCTCCATCTCAGGGGGAAGCAATTGTCCCTGAAGGTCAAGGATGGGAAATAAGGGCATTGCCTTATTGCTTTTAAGGGCTTTGTTCAAAGTGTATTCTGAGTTATGTGTTGCTTACCTTCTTTCATATGTAATTTCTGAACAAAGAGACATGCCTTGCCTACACAGCGTTCTACTCCAAGTTCAGCTCCTTTCTGTTGTTCTTGTCAGTCCCTTCTCCTCTCCCAGGCCTTTTGTTCGCTCAGTTCACTATCTCCATGCCCACTCAGCCCCTCTGGCTACCCTGCACTTAGTGCTGCTGTTGTTACCTTAATGTTACCTCCTCCCCACCATGTCAGCTTCCTTTACTGTTGTTGTCCAGCAAACAGGAAATC